TATGCTGCTGGATTAGATTACATATTGCTCATGCAAACTGAACCTGCAATTATTAAATCCCATCAGAGCTAAAACTGAAACGTCTGCAGTTATAATAATTTATGGTGACTTAAGTGCATCATACTCTCCCACTAGGGAATGATTCGCCCTCGAATCTGCAACGTCCTCAGGTGGTAATCCAGGTGGCAACTCTTCTGGTACAATATCACCAAATTTCCTAATTAAGATTAGGACTTGGAAATGCAATTCTTTGACATGCTTGGTATATTCATTTGTAGTTTGGATCAATGATCGCATCTGTGATCTGTCATAGGAAAACTTTGTCTGATGTACCAGCAAGTCCCATTGCCTTTGACGATTTCCAATTAAACTTTTACCAAAAGGTGAATCTTTATCTCCATGGAGCATAAGGTTGTTATGCTCGTTGTCCCCAAATTCATAATACTGCTTGCAAACTAAAGACTTCTTGGATGAAGGATCATTCTGCATGATATCTTTGGGGAGAACTTCATCTCTGTTAGAGATATTAGAATTTCTAATAATTGACTTCCCATCAGAATCACTACAAGAGATTTCTTTCACCTCTGGATTCTCGTCGTCTTGCTCCCAATCATACTTATCATAGATAGGGAACTTGTCATAAATTGGAGCATCCATAACAGGATTCTCATCATCTTGCTCTTCATCATATTCATCATAGATTGGGACCTTCTGGTCTTCTGTCAAGTCTATGATGTCAAAGACCTTTTCGACGGTGTGTGACTCCTCAATAAACTCATCTGGATGAGTGGTGCCTTCGAATTCCGGGATCTCAATCATCACCTCAATATTAGCAAAAAAGGATTGATTTCCAAGTTGACTTCGTCCTCGTCGCTCCTAGTTTCGGTTCCATAATCTCCTTTCCTCCTCATGAGATGATCTTTCAGATTCCCATCCTTCATCTGACTCGTGCAACTGTGCCTCTGCAAGCAGTTGTTCGAGTTCTTGGATCCGTCTGTCCTTTTCCTCAATTTCAGCATCTCTCGAATCAGTATAATAATCACCATCGGTAGGTTGACCGCGTCTGCCGCCACGACCTCTTCGTCCACGACCACGACCACAACCTTCGCGATTTTCCTGCTCAGCCATCTTAAGGCAACCTGAGCTCTGATACCAAATGATGCAAAATTATATGGAAAATAGGCTTTCAGGAAAATGTAGAAGTTTTCTGCTATATTATCATTCTTCAATAATCAAAAAGTCCTCCCTCACATCCTTTTAACCAGCCTTTTAAAGGCAATACAAAAAGTAACTGACAACAAAGGACTATCAATGGTCTTAAAAACTGATACAAAACGGAAATAACCATAAACAAAACATAAAGTCATGCAAACTGAAACGTCTGCAATTATTAAAATCCATAAAAAGCTTTAAAACTGAAACGTCTGCAGTTATAATAATTTATGGTGACTTAAGTGCATCATTTTCAACTTGTTCTTACCCCTTGAATCGCCTTTGAAACCGTCGTGGATAAGTGTGCAGATGTTATTCCAGCGGGTCTTTAAACAGACGTTGAATACCATCTCGACGCTTGTATCTGCGTCCTTTTTTGAACCGCCTCCTGCACAACGTTGAGACGGTTTTAATTGCTGCAAAACAACAAAACAACGGTCGATTAAGAGTTTCACCCCTATATGTAAGTATTGAAACACGATATGTATGTATGCTTTTATCTAATAATCTAAAATGTAACTCCGTTTGATTTGGGACGTGAAATGTGTGGCAGAAAAGGGTTGCAGATTCTAAGGGAAGATTTCTCGTTAGACCTGTGGCTATAGCTGCTGCTGGTTCAACACCCTTACTGAACAATTCTGATACCAGTGAGCACCATAACCTTCCTTTCATTATTATTATTATTTATAATCTTTGGTTGACGCTTATTAACCTGGCTTCAAATTTAGGAGCATATGTGACAGCGCGGGTCCCTCTTCCATTACAAGATTCTCAAGTGCTGCATGATTTGTTTTCACGGCATTTATCTTATTTCGACCAAGCTGGTCTGTCTTTACTTTGATTTGAATTTGGTGTATTTGTATATATGTGTTTGTAGATTCATGTATTACGTTTGGAATTGAAAATTTGTAGGAATACTTGGGCTGTCTTCTTATAGAGTCGGTCCGGTTCCTTCATCCGGCATATCTAAGGAAACTTCTGGGGCTGTTGGGTCAAAGTCAAGTGATTATTTTGGCAGACATACTATTGCAAATGCTGCTGCTAAAGTTGGACCTGCTGTTGTTAATATTACGGTTTCCCAAGGTATACATTTAGGTTTTTTTTTTAACCTTAAAAAGTTTTGTGCTTTGATGCCCTTTTAGTTTATTCTGAAGATTAGGCATCAACCGTGTAGATTTGTATGGTATTACCACAGGAAGGAGTATAGGATCGGTAGGATCGGGAACCATCATCAACAAGGACGGTACAATCTTGACATGTGCTAATTTTCAAGGAAAGGTTTGTTTACATGCTAAGTCTAAGTCATATCTCTCAAACATACACTTGTAACGTTGTGTTGGTAGATTTGTTATTACTCTCTGTGATGCAAATTTGAGATCTTGTACAATATGGGTGTTTCTTAAACATATTTCTCGAGTACATTGACTTGAATATAAGAGTTATAAGAATTTTTTGATAGATTTCTGTTAAAAGCATAGTAGTTAAAAGCAATTGCGGGTTGCGGTGGTGGACCGCGAGGAAAGCAAATGCGCGTTTTGCGGCCGTAATAGCGGAGGACATCGCGTCCGTTTCCGCAAAAATCGCGGCGTTTTCTCTCTCTTCTGCGTTTTTTAAAGCTCTCTCTTCTGCGTTTAAAGATGGAGAGATGAGGAAGAAAATCACGTGACTTTAAATTCATTTTGAATCTGATTTTTATTATAATATTATTTTACGTGTTTTAAATTCATTTTGAATCTGATTTTTATTATAATATTATTTTATTTGATTGTACGTAAATCACCTGTTCCCGAGACTTTTATTTGTCCCTCTCTTATGAGTAATCTGATAGACTGATAAAAAAACCTGAAAAGTAATATTTTTTTATGTAAATCACGTAACCTCTTCTGAGTGTCTCTCTATTCTTTTATTTTATTATAATATTATTTTATTTTGATTGTATGTAACCGACATATTTTTTATTATATAACCGACATTATTTTGATTGTATGTAACCGACATATTTTTTATTATATAACCGACATTATTTTGATTGTATGTAACCGACATATTTTTTTATATAACCGACATATTTTTTTATGCTATCAGAGATATATATAATTATATATCAATATATATCCTAATCATATTTATATACAATCATCTCTTCTCTACCTTTCTACCACATTTTTACATCTTATCAGAGAGATATATTGATTAATTTTTGTATCCTATCAGCGAGATATATATTAATTATATATATATTTAATATATATATATATATATATATATATATATATTTGTATCCTATCAGAGAGAGATATATTTGTTATGTTTTAGATATTGACAATATTAAAATCTTTTAACTGGTTACTTGGAATTCTTATTTGTTTTGGAGTAATTCTTTATTATTATTGATTGATTTTTATTTTTTGGCATATATATGATATTGCACAAGCACATACCTTAGTATTGTACAAGCACAACAGCTCCTTGCAATCATATATGATATTTTATTATCGAGTGTAAAGAGTGACAGACAGGTGAGTTACTCCTTTAGTCGTAGGCTTTGTGCTTTAGCTTACTTGGCAGAATGATTGGTTTAACTTGAAAGTGTAATCTTTTATAAATTATCTCCACCTGTATATTATTTTAGTCTATTCATATGCGAGTTTTTGTATAAATAGCATTTTTCCCATTCTCACTATTTTGGCTTATGAAGACATCAGATGTATATATGACAAAGTATGACTATGGACACTCATTTTTGGGTCTTACAACTAATGGTTGATTGTACAGGTTGAAGTCACTTTGCAAGATGGAAGGACATTTGAGGGTAAAGTGATAAATGCTGACATGCATTCAGATATTGCTATTCTGAAGATCAATTCTGAAACCCCACTACCAGAAGCAAAACTTGGTTCTTCAAGTACGCTTCGTCCTGGGGATTTGGTGATAGCCATGGGCTGTCCGCATTCCCTTCAGAATACTGTCAGTGCGGGCATTGTAAGGTGTGAAGAAAAAATTTCAGACAATAATAGATGTGTCATTGTTTTAAGCTATTTTCTTTTGTTTTAAATTTTGCCATCTCATATAATAGATTTTGGAAGCTAAAGCTATATGGTTGTTTGGCGCAGTAATTTATTATTTGAAGTCACTTTGCAAGATGGAAGGACATTTGAGGGTAAAGTGATAAATGCTGACATGCATTCAGATATTGCTATTCTGAAGATCAATTCTGAAACCCCACTACCAGAAGCAAAACTTGGTTCTTCAAGTACGCTTCGTCCTGGGGATTTGGTGATAGCCATGGGCTGTCCGCATTCCCTTCAGAATACTGTCAGTGCGGGCATTGTAAGGTGTGAAGAAAAAATTTCAGACAATAATAGATGTGTCATTGTTTTAAGCTATTTTCTTTTGTTTTAAATTTTGCCATCTCATATAATAGATTTTGGAAGCTAAAGCTATATGGTTGTTTGGCGCAGTAATTTATTATTTGACCATGAAGCTTATTAAGTTTTAAAAAAAGGGCTCCTTGTTTTCTTTTTGACTAATGAAATTTATGTCTTGTATGATTTTGGCATAGTTGTGTTGACCGGAAAAGTAGTGATTTGGGTTTTAGTGACACGCCAAGAGAGTATTTACAAACAGACTGTGCAGTCAATGTGGTATATTTTCCTAACTTTCTCCCCATAAGCTCCCAATGTAACCCAACTTGGTTTGCATTTGTTGTATGGACCAAATCTTCACCTGCATGTTTATTCAGTCTGCTTGTGTATTTTTATCTGCTTCTATGATATAGGGATATTCTGGAGGACCTCTTGTCAACATGGACGGAGAAGTTATTGGCGTGAACATTGTGAAAGTGATGAGTTTTTTGGTGGCTGATGAGAGGATGAGTTTTTCTGTACCAATCGACTCTGTGTCTAAAATTGTAGAGCATTTCAAGAAAAGTGGGTATGTTATTGGTTTTATCCTTACTATTTTTATTGCATATGCATTGGAAAATAGGATGTAATTTGTTGTAAAATATTGTCAGCTTGTCATTTGTGTTATGTTACATTCAGAAAAGGATGTTTTACATTCTGAGAGGAAAGTTAAATTATGCAAAATATTTTACAACTTTTTCATTTTTAATATATTATACAAATAGTCCATAAAACAGTATTGATTTAAATATTTTTATGTCAAATTCATACTTGAGTAGTTGAGCTCGCTCTACTAGGCTGAGGAAGTCAATAAACATTACTTAATGTTGTCCAGGAGAGTAGTGCGGCCTTGGCTTGGGCTAGAGCTGTTTGATCTTAACGAGATGATTATTGCGCAGCTTAAAAAGAAAGATGCTTCATTCCCTAACGTGGATAAGGGCATTCTTGTACCAATGGTATGTCCCGAATTGATCCTTTCTATCTATCCTACTTTTATACACACTCTACTGTGCCAGTATGGGCAAATGGCCCTTGAAATTCTATTTGTGTAATTTTTCAAAGTCTACATTCACTGGACAGAATCTTTATGCTTTTTTTTGGGAGACAAATCAGTTCCAAATATGTTGGCAACAAGTAAAGGATTTTTGTTGAAATTATCTGCCTTCTTTGAGGGCAATGCATTGGCCAATAAATAATATTTCTTTTTGTTAGGATGTCAACTTTCCAAAGAGACTATCTTAGTGAAGCAGTGGTCAGTTCACACTTTCACAAGCTTGTTATATGTAGCAGGCTGCTTTCTTGAACAATAGCTCTTTGTGGATCCAGAATTAGGGATGGATGTTGTGTATTTGTGAATGATAATGGATTAGTAAACTAGAAAACTAGGAAATAGCAACCTAGCAAACTGAGAAACCATGAGCTATACAATGCTTAATTTGTTAATGAAGAAGTTAAAGAATGGAAAGACTACTAGAGGCCACTTCCTGCACTTCCTGATCATGTGGCAAATGTGCAATTCTCCATTTGAATTGGTTTTTCTTAATTTATGTTATTCATTGTAATTATCCTCCGCATGTAATTGTTTCTTTTCTGGAATAATATGCACTGCGTTCACTAATGCAAGGCTACCATTAGATAACTTGAAATTACATGACTTAAAAGTTTTTGACTAGGTAATGCCCGGGTCCCCTGGTGATCGTGCTGGGTTCCGTCCAGGCGATGTTGTCGTTGAATTTGATGGGAAACCTGTTGAAAGCATGAATGAGGTATTGCGATATTTTGTATATTATTATTTAATTTTTATTCTAATTTTGCTTTTGAAGTGAGATGATTTGGTAGAAAATACAATTGGACTATAATTTGATGTCTCTTTGGAGTCCTTGGGCTATATTTGGATTGATGAAAAGGAACGGAATGCTGGGGAATGGAGGGGAATGCAATGTGAACATGATGGAATTTGTTCCATTCCATCCAATACCTTCTTTTTCTTTCCTCCCAAGTTGAGGGGATAAGATGGAACCATTCTAATAAAGATATTGCTCCTGCCATTCCATCCACTTTCCAAACATTGGAATGGACTTTTTATTCTGTTCCATTATGAAATATCCAAACAATAGTATGATATCATTAGGTATCCAAACATATCCTTATTAAACGTGTTTTAAGCTTATTAAACGTGTTTAGTTGAAAGTTTTATTTACTTAAACCTAGTGCTAATATTAAAAGGCAAAATTGAGAATAAAAATTTAAATGATTCCATAGGTATTTACTCTTCAAGAAAAATAAATTCAATGAAAGAATGTAATGTATTTTTTGTGGGAATAACTTTGTCTTGGTATGGAGAATCTTGATTTGTTATTGAAAAGCTTTATACTTTTGCTGCAGTTGAATTTACTGTAATCTCCACGGTCTGTCAAGTGTTTCTTGAATTCATTATTCATTGTGATGAAATATGCCTGTTTATATATTCTCACGAGATATAAAACTTTGGCAGGTAATTGAAATAATGGGGGACAAAGTTGGGGTGCCCATAAAGGTACTAGTTAAAAGGGCAAGTGATACATTGGTGACTTTAACTGTGATCCCGGAGGATTCCGATCTTGATGTGTAAAAGGTATACACACAAAAAGACACACATAAAAGGGGGTGTCATTTCTTCCCTTTTTCTTATTTTTGTCATAAAAGGAGTTGCTTGAGCTAATGGAAGCAAAGGAGGTTGAACAGAACAAATGGTGTTCACATACTTTATAGTATTGCAAGTATAGAGTTTGACTTCTTCATGTTGTTCCACAATAACACATGATTTCATATAGATTTTATCTCCTTTGATAATAAACTGGTTTGGTAATTCTTATGTAGTAATCCATTTGGTTTTAGAATTTCATTTTGTTAGCGGTCAAATATAAATCTCACAGGATATTTTGAACTTAAAATCGCCATTGCCTGCCAGTGAATCTGGATAACCTTGTATTTTAATCTGCTTTGACATGAAGCTTCTGCCCGATCCCTCTAGATCATAGTTCCTTATGAAACCTTCTTGTGTTATTACAATACTATTGCTTTTCATATGTTATATCTTGGTGCTTCTTAGCTCCAACTAGAATTCTCTGGGTGTATTTGAATATCTAAGTTCAGTGCTATAGTGAACTCCATTTTGCGGGTTTGTGGAGTTTAAACTGAAACAAAAATTCTTTGAAAAGCTGTGGAATTAATTCGGTAGAGGAAAGGTCTTTGAATGCTTGCTCTAGCTAATATAATAATATTAAGGATGTTTATGTCCCTTACAACATTTGTAAATCACGACTCAAGTACCATTTATCTCCTTTCACATCTTGAGCTAGTAGTTTTCTAGTTTAGTTTTGTAACCAGTGATCTTCTGTGTTAGGTCAACCTTATACATGTGATAAATGGTGGCATTTTGTACAGTGACCCTCCAAGTTTCCTATAAGTAAAGTGCTGCCAACCTATGTTTTTTACCTTTTATTTTGTGTCTTCTTGGTACATAAATAAACTGTATGGAGGGACTACTTTGCCCAATATCTTTGCTCTTCTCCTCCTAGCATGAATCTGAAATGTAGATCAAGTTCAAGTTGTCAACAGATACTGTTATGACTAGTGAATCTTTTGAATGAAAAGGAGAAAACTCAATTTGAAAAGGAGTTAATATGCCTGTGGCAGGACCAAGCCCTGGAAAACATTGTAACTCTATTATGCTGTTGTAACTTGTTATAGGAATGGGAACCTTGTTTGTTTGCATTTGATTGATGATCTATTTCGGCCAAAAAATGATTAAAAGAAAAAGGGAATTAGTATTCCTTCAACACTATTTTTCGACATGTATGAATCCATAATTTATCAAAACAACAGTTTAAGAAATCACTTGATATGTTTTTTATGTTGTGAACACCAAGCTATCAAGCTATAATGTGTAGAACATGTAAACATAGGTAAGATGTGAGTTTTTGTATGTGTAAAATATTGTTTAAATGTCATCACCTGCTCTATATTTTGAATGGTTCTTTTGTGTTCCAACTAGTTGTACGTGAGTAGCACTTTTTCTCGTATAAATATATTCTATTTAACCAATTGATGACTATTTATATTGCAACATTTGTAAAGGTGACCCTGTTTTTATATAATAGATTAGGTTATATTAGATTTTAATTAACACCATTATTGTAAGAATGAATTTGGAAGAAAGAATGTAAAAAGAAGTTTGTGTAAGAAGTTATTTTTGGAGGGAAAAGTTAATTTTGGTAATAACATATGATATGGGATCCACTTTTTATGTCACCAATGGCATTTGATTGTGGAAGTTGAAAGGAAGGGTAATTATCAGCGATGATGATCGATAGGCTTTTGTAGAAGGTCACCTATAAGTCCACCTGATTTGATATTGTGGTGGTAATAGGATAAGAAAAAACAAAACATATTTGATTGCTTTTATCATTTTTTTTTCTATAAAAGAAAAAAGAAAAAAAAAACCCAGATTCCAAAAGAAATTTGGCAATCGCTTCTGGAATCTTAAGAAAGATGGAATTTAAATGCTCTTCTTCTTTTTTCCTCTTTATCTTTTCCTTTATTTGCTAATACAATACCTCTTAATTTCTTTTACAACTTTTACTTTGTATTTTTAGTCTCTACGCTTTTTTCTCTGGTGAATACGGATTTTTTTATTATGATCCCGGTGCACATTTTTTTGGATGCTCCTTTTCTTATAAAGGATTTTTTTTACATTTATATCCCTGTCTTCTTTTTAAATTACCTCACCCCTTTTTTCTTTCCCCTTTTGGTTAAGGCACACCAAGGCCCGGTTCACCATAAATGATCTCGGTGAATACTCTTTCTTCCTATTTTAACTCTAATGCTTATTGTCTCACGAGATGGATTCTTAGTAAGGGTGTAAATTGGTTAGGCTTTGACTTAAATAGGTCAGGCCTGTATAAAAAATATTGGGTCTGGTCTGGCCTGTTAGCCTGTGTAGGGTTCAAATTACAAGTCTGACCTGATCTATATTTAAAAAACAAAAACCTTGACCTAGACCTGTTAGCCTTTTAAGTCTATTAAACATTCAACAATTAAAAGAATAACTAAAATAATATTATTTTATTATTCAAAATTATTAAAATAATAATTTTATTTATTTTATTCAAAATAATAATATGATATAGGCCGACTTGTAGGCTTATAGGCTCGACATATACAAAAAAGTCTATGACCTGTTTTCTAAATAGATTTTTTTAAAAGCATATGTTTGTTCTATTTTACTATTTATAATAGGTCAAGTCTGACTTAATATAGGCTAGACTGTAGGCTCCTGTAGATTGGCCTAACCCATTTACATTCCTAATCCTTAGTCCTTACCATTTGCTTTCAGGTCAATCATCAATGTTCTTGTAATGAAAATTGTGTTTAATAATAAAAGAACACTAATTATTTAGAAATATCATGTTCGGTGTTCAATTCAAAAGTTTAGTTAATAAAACATATTTACTTTAAGAGGCTACGGTGAGTTATAACTTATAACATAAGATCTGTAATTTTCATTTAAGTAACCAAACACCACATCAAATTTTTTTTATCTTTGTGCATAAATTTAACTCTTCCATATTATTAGAATATATACTCTCACAAAATGAGATCACAAAAATTTACAGTCTCTGGATGGATAACAGACTGTCAAAATGATGTTCTACACAAACAATTGAATGATTTACACAGGAAATTGTATTTTTTTTTTTATGTGTTATGAGAGTAGAATTACTCAAGGGATGTTTAAGAGGGATAATACTTTTATACTTTCAGGTTTTAAAGTCCACCATGCTTCTCACGCTCAGTTTTGGTATGTTACTAGTTATACAGATTATTTATCTTTTCAGCCTTTAAAAAAAAAAAAAAAACTCAGATTATTTATACATATTCTAGGTAATGAGGGGTAATTATTATCTAAATATTCAAAAACTACACTTGATTATGTGGAACAGTGACTAGTGTATCACATATTGGTCATTTTTTTACGAGTATGCCACGCGAACAGTAATATTTATTAAAATGTCACGTGTCCAAGTTCGCTACAGCAAAAAGCGAACTCGATTTGTTGATGTGGCGTGTTTCTGGTGGTTATCTAGTTCGCTATTGGGTATAGCGAACTAGGTGATAATTAATATTATCTGCTCTGACAAAAATAGAACATATGACAATATCTTTAAACTAAATAATGAGTACATAAAACAACATTAAACACTGAAAAAATAACAGGAAAACTAAAATCCTCAAATCAATTTTCGTTTTACATCAATGAAACAATATCAATTTAAAGAAAGATTGAAACTTTCGTAACAATACATTCATGAACGAAATTCCTTCACTATAGGAAACGATTTCAAACACTTTTTGTGTCAATAGATAACTAAAAACTTGTTTCTCAAAAGCCCCAAAGCAATTTAAGGTTTCAATGTATCGATTGAAAAAAATTTGAGAAATTTTCTAAACTTTCATGTAATTAAACCCAAAATTTCATATTCGAAATTTTCTTAGAATATTCAATGAAAATATGCATATGATATATGTTTAGAAAATTCCAAAAACCCCAAGGTTTTCAAGATTAATTGCAAAAAATTCCAAACGAAATTTTATCATGAACTTTAGGTTCTATATGCAAATTTAGAATTAATTTTATAATTAAAAAAATTGGGTCTTATAATCATATATGCATAGCTTTGATACCAAATGAAGAAGATAATTTTCAACCCATTAGATATGTGAAAAGCTGTTGTTTAGTAATTTTGAACGTTTGTTAAAAATCATATTATATTTTATTGATTGAGAAAATTATATTAGGTTTTATTTTTTTTTATTAATTTCATTGCATTTCTTTGTTATTTTTTTATGGAGAAGATTATACTTACAACCTATTTTTGTTTATAATCTTTTACAACCATATCTTAATCCTTGATTTTCGTCAATCAATGATTATTATTTTCGCAAATCAAACTCATTAATTAATATTTAATTTGCAATGAATGATAACCGTTGATTAACGAAAATCAATAGTTAAGATATGATTGTAAAATGTTGTAAACAAAAATAGGTTGTAAGTATAACCTTTCCCTTTTGTATTGACTCTTGTAATTTTGAATGTTTGTTAAAAATTCGTATGGTTTTTTAAAATCTTATAAATCCATATTGTCCTTACAAATCTTATAAATTCTATTAAAATCCTTTAAAATCCAATCTTATGAAATCTTGATTGTAAAAAAAGTCTTTAAAGTGTCTCCAATTCTAAAATGTCTTTTAAAATTTGTAGGATTTTTATAACAAAAAAGTTTTTTAAAATCCTAATCCAATACACCCCCTAAAATTGAAACTCAAGATCAATAGTTAAAGGAAAAAAATATTTGTCCTTTTAAATAACACAACTTATGTCATTTCACTCTCATAAAGAGGTGGGATCCTTTTTTTTTTATCCACTCTCTTCCATAATTTATTTCTTTTTCACTTTAAATGACACAACTTTACCTCCTTTAGAATGATACACATTTTTTCCATAGTTAAATTAAAACAACCTCACACCGATTAGTGCTTGATGATGAAACAAATAGTATTTAACCCGTGGACCGTGATGCACATAGCTAAGAGTGCGTGTAGTAACGTTTTCAAATTTTTAGTATAAAAAATAGAAATAATTAAAAATAATATTTGATAAAACTAATTTTCTTTCCGGAACATGAACCAATAGCAAAGAAATACCAATTAACAGAAATAAAAAATATACTTATATATATAAAAGAGTTATATTTACATTTTATTTACAAACTCTTATAAATTATATTATTACACTATTTACTTGCGTGATTTTATAATTTGCAAAAAATTTGTATAAAGTATAAACACTCGTAAGCAGAGGCTCTCTAAGTTTCATAAAAGAAATATTCATTCTGAGAACTTTGATTCACATTCATTCATCCTTCCAGTATTTATACAACCATTGTAAGAAAGAAAAAGAGAAAAGTTAAAAGCGGGAAGCGTAATAGAATGTAACTAACACATGCCTCATTCTGTTTTTACTTATCCACGTGTCATAATCTTAACAACATTATAGTTAGATGAATTAAATTGTTCCTTTTCTGATGTGGAACTATGTTGCTCCAAGAGGGGCATCAAGTTGTTGCTTCGGTGCCCATTAAAAATTTGAAGTAACACAATCCACGTCAACAACAACAAATGGTGATGCAATACCACGTGATGATGAAACTGGAAACATAATTACAATTACACATGCAACAACGAACCATGACAGATCAACACTCATTAGATAGAAAGTTGTTAGGGTTAGTCATTCAGTTAGCCTTGTTGTTTTCTGTATATACACTTCATCTTCCTCTAATATATATATACTTGTACTTACACTCAATTAATAATACGATTCAGTTTTCTCTTTTCTTCATGAGTTCATTGAAGCCATTCTTGATTTCCAATTTGAAGAAAAGACTCTGCTTTCAGCTTTAGCCCGCGGTTTTGAATTTTGAAAAACAAGACTCTGCTTTGTTTTCGTTTTGTTGCTCGTTGTCTTTGTGGGGAAGAGTGTGGAAGTTTAACGAATGTTGACGATCGTCATTGTAAAGAACCTTGGGATACACCACCCCAAAAGCTAGCTCAAAGGGTGGGAGTGCCCAAGGTCTTACAAAAGCCACATTAGTTGCTCATAAAATCAATGTGAAACTAAATATCTCAAAACACCCCCTCACACAAGAGCCCTTTAGGCTAGAAGCGTGGAAATTGCACAGACCCAATTTTTGGTTTACCTTTTGTGCTTTTGTTTTAATTCCACTTTTAAAGTGGGGGACGATGAGTCTCTAATACCATTAGACCCTTCTCTTAAAATGCAACGTGTACAAAGAGAACCTTTTGCAGATGTTGCTTCCTACCGACGTCTTATTGGTCATCTTCTTTATTTGACAACCACAAGACCAGATATTATGTTCTCTGTACAACAATTAAGTCAATATGTTGTTAATCCTATGCAGTCTCATCATATAGCAGCACTTCGAGTATTACGCTACTTGAAAGGATCTCCAGGGAAAAGATTACTCTTCCCTGCACAAAACACCACCCATGTCTCTGCCTTTGCTGATGCAGATTGGGCTTGCTGTTTGGACACCAAACGTTCCATCACTGGCTTCTGCATATTCATTGGTTCTGCTTTGGTCTCATGGAAATCGAAGAAACAGAGCACTGTATCTCGTTCTTCCACCGAAGCTGAATATAGATCATTAGCAAGTCTAACATGTGAGCTACAATGGCTGCACTATTTGCTTAACGATCTCTGTGTTGTTCCTACCAAGCCTGCTTCTGTATTTTGTGATAACAAATCCGCCATTTACCTTGCGCATAATCCTACTTTTCATGAGCGCTCCAAGCACATAGAGTTAGATTGTCACATTACCCGTGAGAAGATTAACGAAGGGCTTATTGTAACACCCCGTTCTAGAACCGGTTTGTTAACATTACATACAACATTAAGCGCAGTTACAATCACAAAATTGAATTAAATACGGATAAACTTTTCCTTAATATTTGTAAACGTTTTTAATTAAAATCAATTCCGTACTTAAAACGATTCCCATAAATGTGATCATAACTCAAACTACATGCGAAATTGTTATTGCAAGTCTTAATTAGACCAAACCCTACTACTATGGTCTGCCAAGTAGTCCCCTTAGACCACCAAGGCATAAAGCTCACTTTTATTGTTTTAAACACTAAACGTATCCACTTTTTTTTTATTTAAGAAATTCCTATTCTATCTTTATGGTCTCCATTTTTCCAAAATATTATAGGATTCTTCATTAGCTAAACGTGGGTTCAAACCGCGCTCAAATCGGAGCACCGTAGCTCAAGTTACGCATTCTCTAAGAAAACAAGTGCTGAACCATCAGGACCCTCCGCGCTGATAGCGTCAGTCCCACGCTATCAGCGCCACTGATGCGCAAGACACAGGGAGGGTGGCGCTCCTAGCGCCACAGTGGCGCCCTTAGCACCAACTTCACTGCCTTTTTTTGGTGATGGCGCCCATAGCGCAACACAACAGGGCTGGGTGTCAAAACAGGGTAATTTGATCTCCCAATGGTATTTCATCTATAACTTTAGTTATACTACTCCTATTTACGCAATCTTGGTCTAGTTGGAAAGCTAAAAAAATGATTTACAACTTCCATTGAGACACAAGGGTCCAAATCTAGCATATAGGATATGGAAAATGGACAAAAAGGTAGGATATTTTTACTTTTACTAGGATTTTCAACCTAAAGGTCTTCTTTCACCTAATTGACGTCATATAATCCTTTCAATACATGAATTCTAGTCTTTCCAGGTACACATACACTAAGAGAAGCATGCATACCATTTCATCATACATATATCTTAATTAATTACAACATTACATCATTGTAACATGTCTTAATTACAAATCATGAGACTTAGCTATAAAACACTATGATCAATCCCTTGGCTCCCATCAACAAAAGGGTACCAAAAGAAATGGGCATAGGCTAAGTCCATCAAAATAGAAGATGACATACATATAGCAATTGGCTTTCAAATGTAAATCCTATACATGGTACTACTACATGTCATGTATAATCCAAAAGAATGCAACATCTTCATGTATCTACTAATCCAAATATGGGCACTTGCCAGCGGAGGCTCCTGCAGCATCTTCACCAGAAAGGAGGTCCCCACAACACAGGGTGAGATATACAGATATATCACAGTAAACTAGGGGTCCTTAGAGCATCTCTCCACCCAATAGTTCAATAACAGTGTAATAATAATAACAATAATAATGCAATAAATACATATTCATGCAGTGTGTAACAAACATCTCCAGGAGAAATCCCTCAAGCTCTTGCTGTCCTAAGGATACTCAGATGCAAATAGTCCTACTGGCCAGCTAAACTACCAAGTATGATTTACGCATCGTCATGCAACATACCAACATAGGGAAACACCATCCTATGACACACCAAATGCATATATTTCCAAGCATCATTCCATTGAAAGTGACTATCGAATCGGGTTCTATGTATCAGTGCCACATGTCAGACCTGAAGAAAGGTTCTTAGTTGGTAGAGTTGGTCTGAAGGAATATAGGCTATATAGGTGCATAGCGCGATATGGCTACCGCGATATTCACAAGGATGACATTGAGTTCGAGAAAGATCTTATTTGGAGTGTAGCAGAATTTATCAGGTCAGATAATTCTGAATATGGCTTAGGATTTGGGAGTTTTGAAGATGATACAATGATGACAGTTGTTGGGACTTCATCATCAAACTTAGAGGGTGTGAGGATGTCTGAAGATGATCAAGATAATTCTCATATGGAAGGCGCTTCAGAGTTGATGAAGGTTAAGTCTCCCGAGAGAGTGAAGAAGCGAGTGCGGTTTGTCGTGCCAGACAGTCCACAGATTGATTTGGAAGCAAGGGAGGAGTTGCTTGAGCTAATGGAAGCAAAGGAGGCAGGAATGGCATTTATAATGAGTCACTCGTATGTTAGAGCAAAAAGAGGATCAAGCTGGATAAAGAAAGTTGTAATCAATTATGGGTATGATTTCTTAAGGAGAAACTCTAGAGGACCAACTTATGCTTTGAGTATACCTCATGTATCTACCTTAGAGGTGGGCATGATCTATCATGTCTGAGTTTTGGCTAGTAGTTTTCTAGTTTAGTTTTGTAACTAGTGATCTTCTGTGTTAGATCAACCTTATACATGTGATAAATGGTGGCATTTTGTACAGTGACCCTCCAAGTTTTCTGACAAGTAAAGTGCTGCCAATCTATGGTTCTTACCTTTTATTTTGTGCCTTCTTGGTACTTAAATAAACTCTCTGGAGGGACTACTTTTCCTAATATCTTAGCTCTTCTAGTCCTAGCATGAATCTGAAATGTAGTAGATCAAGTTCAAGTTGTCAACAGATACTGTATGTAGTGACTAGTGAATCTTTTGAATGAAAAATCAAAACAACAGTTTAAGAAATGACTTTATATGTTTTTTATATTGTGAACATCATCAAGCTATGAAGTGTGAACACATCTAAAAGAGTTTTATTCACGTCTTAATATTTCAAATTCTAAAGGAGGCGAACTGGAGCAGTGGTAAAACTGTTCTTTCATGACTGAAAGGTCATAGTTTCAAATCCAGGAAACAACCTCTTTGCAATTATGTAAGGGTAAGGCTGTTTACAAGGATTTCTTTCACCCCACACTCGCTAGTCGAGTTTAAGAGGGGGTGGTTTTTTTGGTTTTTTTTTAAATTCTAAAGTTGATTAGAATTTTAACATGTCGGTGTTAATGTCCCAAATCCATGTTTCTTAGTTGATGATAAATGAAGCAATGCATACAAGTATTAGGGACAAGTAAAGTGTAGAACATGTAAACATTGGTCGAATCTAAAGTTGATTTGATGTTGGAAGATGTAAGTTTTTGTATGTGTTAAATATTGTCTAAATATCATCACCTATATTGAATGAGTGCTTATTTGTGTTCCAACTAGTTGTATGCGATAACACTTTTTCTTGTATAAATATCTTCTACTTAACCAATTGATGACTTTGTTGGTGATTATTTATATTGTGAGCGACATTTGTAAAGATAACCCATTTGAAAAACGTATGTGTTTTATATAATAGATTAGATTATATTATATTTTAATTAACGTCATCATTGCAAGAGTGAATTTGGAAGAAAAAATGTGATAATAAGGTTGTGCAAGAAGTTATTTTTGGAGAGAAAAAATAGTTTTGGTAATAACATATGATATGGGATCCACTTAATATGTCACTAATGGCCCAATTTGTATCTGAAATAAGAATGGCATTTGATTTTGGAAGTTGAAAGGAAGGGTAATTATCAGTGATGATGATCTATGGGCTTTTGTAGAAGGTCACCTATAAGTGCATCTGATGTTGATATAGTGCTCCCGTAACCTTATCTAAGGCAGTTATACTTCATGTTTTAAAATTTAGACCGATTCAGTTGAGGTATTGGATTATTAGTTCAACTGAATTTACTGTTCACATATTAAAAAATATAAACATATTACTTATAGTAAAAATTCACATAAGAAAACTATCAATAAGCTTCAAAAAATAAATTGGTTCTCAATGATAGCAAATATTATATACTTCTGAGTTTTTAGCTCTAGACTATATTCCAATAGTGGATTAAAATTGAAATGTAAACTAAATGCATTTTTTGTGCCTTGATATAACACAGAAAAATTAAATCATGATAACAAATGGTAGACACGAAATATACACTAAGGAGAAAATGTCCATCGTTGAGATTAGACCATCAGTGTTTATCGCCACTTAACTTCTTGATATCATTATAAGATGCAACTAAATTACATAAACGAACTGAATTAATCCAAAATTCCTTATTTTCACCTTACTTTTTAATCATATTTATCACAAAATATGAACATGATTTAATTCAAGAGTTTTTAGCAATTTAAAAGAAAATTACCAAAAAAATAAAAAAAGTTTTACCAAAATAAAAAGAAAAAAAGAATAAGGTCAACCGATCTAACACGGGTCAATTGGGTCGTTGAGTCTCGGCTGGATCAACCGGTCAAAACTGAGCTAATTCCATCTATTTATAACTTAGATGGAAGTCTACCTCGCATAAAACTCAGAAAAATTTGTTAATAGCACCTGTAAAATGCAAACAAGAATAATAAAATAAAATAAAATTCAATCTCAAAGATCAAAGATTATTTATAATATTGAAATTTTCAATCCCCGGCAACGGCGCCAAAAACTTGATGCTATCCGGCAAGTATACCGTTTCGCATAAGTAGTAAAGTAGTAAGAAAGATCGTCTCCTCAGGGATTGAAAACCAAGTACTAAAATAATCAGTCACTCTAAGTTGAAAAACTTGATCTTTTGTTGGGAAAATTAAATTGAATCTTAGTAACCATAAAAGTAAAGACTTATTTTTGAGTTTTTGTATTTTGAAGAATGAAAAGAAGAATAATAATGGAGTTGGTTTTGAAAATATGAGAAAGAATTGCAGTTAGGGAACACTCTCCCTATGTTCCCCACTTATTACTTTGGATTGATACAAAATACTTGTTTATATAATTTCTCAGATAATTATGATCTCAATATATTAATAGTTAAATCCCAATCCCTTGGTGACTTAACCCTTTAACCTCACTTAGAATCCTAATCCCTTAGTAACCCCTCATGAGAATTAAGCAATGAACACAATAATTCCAACATCTGCAATTAAATAGACATCTATCCCTAGTATGCATACCAATAGTTATCTTATCTCCTTTCAAGATCAGAAACCCCAATATCCCTATTTAAGGTTCTAACCCTCAAACTATTTTCAACTATCAAATTGATCAGGTTTAATAAAGAAAATATCAAATACGCACAAGATAAGATAAAGAAATTTATGTAAACGAGTACAATAATTTAAATCAATCCGTCATAACAAGGGTTCACATAGGGTTGTGACCCTAACTACAATAAAAGAACTTAGCCAGACATAGTCATATCCGACATAAACAAATATTCAAAAGAAAGCATAAAAACTATAATTACTAGAAAGAATGGAGAAGAATTCTTGATCTTCAGTCCTCTACTGCTTGCTCTGAGTTGTGAATTGGTTACTTGGTTGTGCTCCCAATCTCCTTATTTATAACCACCGGCATTGAGCCCATCCAAGAGTTTGTATTTGATTTAAACTTTGTTTCCTTTTTTTCATGTAACAACCTTGGAGATTTGATTGATAAATTAGAATTTCAAATCTTGATTCAATCTTACCACAAATCATCTAATCTTATCTCTAATTTGGATAGAGATCTCATTGCTGAATCAAAAACTTGATTTTTAAATCTTTTTCTTTTCCAAATTGCCCCGTTGCAAAACACGGGGTCTGAGAATTCGCAAACTGACGCTCTCAGCGTCAACTTCACGCTTCAAGCGTGAACGCTTCTGTCTGAAAAATTTCTTCCACGCTGCCAGCGTGAGATCCACGCTTTGAGCGTGGATTTTGATTTTGCAAAATCCTCGTTTTGCTCCAGTTTGTTTGCTTTTTCCTACAAAATTAGCATAAAATCAGTATTCAATCCTTGATTAAGATTCTGACAAATTAACAGTGATTCTTGCTCTTTTTCTCAAGATTTCATCAACATTCTTTCTCTTTTTGGCTCAGATTTCCTTATATGCTAGGCGCATATCAAGAACCCACCAAATCACCGAGACCCGCGTAAACCTAGTGGTCCCAGCCTATTTTTAAAACAATGGTTCTACTTCATACAAGTATCATTTCCATCCTTTATATCGTGGTGGTAATAGGATAAGAAAAATCAAAATTTATTTGATTGTTTTTATCATTTTCTTTTTCTAAAAAACAGAAAAAAAAAACACAGATTCCAAAAGAAATTTGGCAATCGCTTCTAGAATCTTAAGAAAGATGGAATTTAAATGCTCTTTTTCTTTTTTCCTCTTTATCTTTTCCTTTATTTGCTAATACAATACCCCTTAATATAATACCCATCAATTGTATAAAGAAACATAAGATATATAAATAGGGGGTTTATATTTGTCATTTAACATGACATAATAAACTTTCCTACACACACAACATTTTGTGGGATCCACACTTTTTAAAGAAAAAAAAGAAATTACTGCACGCTACACGAATCTCTATAACATTACACAATCACTTTTTTTACAACATATCTCTTATAAAACCCTATAAATGTTTATATTAAACTCAATCAAATAATAATTATAATCTACGAATTTAATAGTTAAAACTTAAAATGGAAGTATTTACATTTTCTGAGTATTTACAAGAGTAAATACCCTTCTTTGTCTTCAACAAACTTTAGTATGCCTACTTTAATCTTTGGACTAAAATAAGTACATCACAAATTCAAAAAAAATCCACATTAATTTTTCAGATTAAAATGGTTCCATTTTAATTTTGTAGGGATCATGAATCCCTTTTTTCTTTACAAGTGACTAAAAAGTGATAGTAAAATTTGATGACCACCAAAAGAGTATTTACTCTATTCACAATGAGTAGGAGTGTGTTGGAAGTGTGGGAATATATGTAAATAGGGGTGAAAGTGGGATGGGCTGGGCCAAACTATGTTCTGAAAAGCCCAAGCCTACGTCAAAAAATTTCAATTTGGCCTGGCTCAAGCCTAGTATGAGTTGTTAGCCTGGCTTGACCCGTTTATAAAAAAATAAATGGCCTGGCTTGGCCCGTTAGCCTGTTAATTTTTAACTTCCATGCAGAACCATGAATCAACTTTACAAAGTACTCACATTTTGTTGCTATATCAAAAATCATAATTTCAACGTCCAAACAGAATCATGAATCATAACAAAACTCATACAATATGCATTTAATTCATTTTCAAAAACAAAATACTCAAACTAAATAATATATATTTCATCAGATCCAACAAACAAATTCATACTATGTAAATTAAAATAACTACATGAATTCAGCAAACACATCATGATGCTTGTAGTAAGTATAACATTTCCCAAAAATCTTTTAATATATTCATATACACAATCAAACATGTTGAGATGTTGATTCCTCCTATATAAGAAATAAAGTAAGATTTCTATTAAAATATAATCGAATATAATTAAGTTATAAATAATTACAATTGATTAAATTTATATCTTTTGTTTTTCCTTCAAGACATACTTATTCTATTTTATTTTATTTAAAATAAATAATATAATATAAGCCGACTTTTTAAAAGTAGATCTACGACCTTTTTATTAAACAAGTTTTTCTATAG